ATAAATAGGGATTCTTTCCCCAGAGCCATGCTAATTAGTCCCTAAAGAGGAAAAGGTTATAATTACAAACCCTCATTCTATCATAGTAAAAAGCCTGATCCCCAAATTTTAAATTAAGTACCCGTCTCAACTCTTTAATAAATTCTCGTTACATAACATCAAAGGATTAAAGAAATAAGGAGGGATTCCCTCCCCACAGCCATGTTGGCTTGGCCCCTGAAGAGGGAAAGAATATAATTTCAAACCCTCATTCTATCATAACAAAAAGCTGTACTGTATAGGTGGGGAAAAAAGATCAAGGGAGCTTCTGAAAGGCTTGAGGTAATTGGAAAGAATCAGTTGCTGCAGTGTGATTTTGATGTTGTGAGGTTATTTAATGTGAACTCATTAAAAGTTAGATTGTGTTGATCTGAATTCGGTAAAGAATAGGCAACAGTGGATCAGATTAACCACAATGATCATTTTATGTCCTGTATATTTCTATGCTTATTATTACCACAAGAAAATTCATGAATGGAAGTGGAAAACCCTATTATAGGTCAATGGGGAGCTGACAGTGGTTTGGTTAGCAATGGAAGACGGAAGCTTTGCCATTTTTTTAAAAAAGTAAAGTATTGATGACTTCAGGATTTCCAGTCGCCTGGATAAAACAGTGCAACAGATTTTTAACCAGAAGCAAATTAACACATCTTTGTCAAGTCTCCTTTTACTACAGATGAGTTGATAGCAAAGTGCTGCTTGGTGTGAATAATGCTTGATTTACTGACCAGGTCAATAGTGTAAGCACTCAATCTTCATTTATTGTAGAGAAGTGATTCCCTAGTAAACCCCTTTACTTACATTCTAAAAATGTATTGTCAGGCATTTATAGTGGGTGAAGCAGTGTTTCACAAAGGCTAAAACTGAAGGAATGGTAAATTGTCAGCAGAATAGATATTGAGTTAGTGACAGTAGGTAAGTAAAAGGGATTAAAAGCTTAATACAGGACAGATCCTAAAAAAGGAGAAGAAATAGCTGCAACAGTGGAGTGCAGAACTGCTAGAAGAATAAGGGCAAGCGCACTCTAGCAATAGTATTGTAAGCATAAGCTTAACACTGCGGGAGGACTAGAGGGTTGTGATATTGTAAATTGTTTATCCTGTAATTTCAGAACCATGTCTGTGTTTGTTATGTATGTATATATATTTATATCTTCTTTATTATATACTAATAAAACCAGTGTCTCTCTGCGCTTCAAGAAGGATCTCAATAACCGATTGACGTAGAGACGTGAATTATACCTCATCGCTGCTTAAAATGAACATGGGGTCATAGGAAACTGGAAAAGAGAATTGTCTCTATCTGATCCCAAAATTTTAAATAAAGTACCCGTCTCAACTCCTTTAAAAGGTTCTCTTTACTTAACATCAAAAGATTAAGGAAAAGTGTCCATTTAGGTAGAGGTGTTCAAAATAATAGAAGGATGCGAAAGATTAGCATAAATAGTCTCTTCCCACTTGTTGATGAGCCTGTAACCTGCGCCACAGTTATGATAGTGACTTGGGAATCTAAAAAATAAATTAGGAGGAAAGTTGAGGTGGAAGGTGGCTATTGTGTGGATAAGGTTTTCGGCTATGTTGGAGGAAAGTGTTCCTGATCAGGGACTGGCTGTGAGGGTAGGAAGGATAGCTGGGTATCGAGCTTGACGGCGAGGTTGCACACTGATTCAGTGAATGTGAGAGAGAGGTCAAGGAGGTTAAGAAAGTCAGCTGTAGGTGAGAAGACATTGACGGGAGCTGAGGTGTATGGCTTCAGTCTTCCATTGCTAACCAATGTGTGATGTTGAATTACTTACTCTAATATATAATAATAAAACAACAATGTCTGTCTGTGTATCATTGTATCTGACAATCATGCAATAACCGATTGATGTAGAGACATGATTTATATTTCATCAAAAAGGTCTTGCATCTGGCAGTGTCATGAGCATATGTTTGGGGGGAGGGAGGGTCTCCTGTCATTGATGAGCTATATTAAAAAAATGCTTATCAATGATAGGAGACCCCCCCCCTTAATAACCTCATATTAAGCCCCAAAATATGAGGTATGCCTCATATTCTACAACTACGTGGCGACAGAGGAAAGCGACAGAGCAACTCTCCCTTTCTCTGTATGAGTCCGAGACCACAGTATTTTTACTAGCCGAGCCCTCACAGAACACAAGATAATATTTTCTCAATGCTCTGTTTGTTTACACTGTTAATAAAATCCCCTGCACGACTAATCATTCATTGAAGAGAATCTCAGTGGCATCTAGTTATCTGCATTGCTGTATCTAACATCCCATACAACTGAAAACTGGACCATTAATTTAATAGAATAGTGTCGAACAATATCACTCACTGATGCTAGGGAGCTAGCTTAACAGCAGGACCAGGCCCTTGACGTTTGTTAATCATTATAATAATAATAATAATCCTTGCATTTGATATAGCGCTTTTCACGTCTTCTAGACGTCTCAAAGCACTTCACAGAATATGCTGTAAAGTGAATTGACTGTATATTTGTGGGCAAAACGTGGCAGCCAATTGCGCACAGCAGTGTCCCACAAACAGTCGTGGATTGAAAATGACCAATTTATTATTATTTGTTTTGGAGGGATTATTAGGAGTGTGGAGTAAGGAAACCTGCCCAAGGTTTCGCCCTGCCTGGAATTGAACCCAGGTGTCTCGCTTGCAAAGCGAGTGCTCTAACCACTCAGCTACAGGACTCCACATTATGAGTGCTTGTGCCTTTTTACACAGTTTGAATTTCTTGGAGTAAGGAGCTTTTATGGTTTGAGCTACAGACATGGAACCAGAGCTTATGGTTCTAAATACTGGTTGATACAGGCAGCCCTTGACTCTTTCAAATAAAATTGATAAAATTACTAAATCTAAAAATATCCTTGAGTGTAGAATGCAAAGAGCGTTAAGTCTTGGAACGTTAAATCCTCTAGATTGGTGGTTAGGGCACTCACCTCACGAAAGAGAGGACCTGGGTTTCATTCCCAGCAAGGTGAAACATTGGGCAAATTTTCTCACTCCACACGCCTCTGTTAATAGGAACTCAGTTGTTAGTTGATTGGTGGATTGCTTTTCCTGGGATAATAATCCCTTCAAAAAAATTACTAAAATAAAATTTAAAAAAAACAGACAGATAAATAAATAATCTGGTCACTCAATCCACATTTGTTTGTGGGACACTACACTGCTGTGCGCAATTGGCTGCCGCGTTTTGCCCACAAAATATACAGTCAATTCACTTTACAATATATTCTGTGAAATGCTTTGAGACGTCTCAAAGAGATGATAAGGCACTATATCAAATGCAAGGTTTATTATTATTAAGTGTGGTCTCCTGGAGTTGACTTTAATCAGGCAGTTCTTAGGATAATGGTTGGAGGTCTCGTATGGAATTTTAAGAGAGAACTGCAGAACTGGGGGCAATAAATTAATTAACTTCACAAGGCAGGGCGTTTTAGTGATAGGGAAGAAAATAAACAGGTTCAGGATGGACTTTTCAAGAGGAAAATCAATGACCTCTCTTGACAGCAGGGCGAAGAGGGTGAATTTAAACAAAAATTATTCTTGCATTTGATATAGCGCCTTATCATCTCTTCGAGACGTATCAAAGTACTTCACAGAATATACTGTAAGTGAATTGACTATATATTTTGTGGGCGAAATTGTACCCAGGGAGAGGGGAAAGGCAGTCGTGGAGAAAGACGTTGCCAAGTGATTATTCATCTATCTTTGTGGAACATCACAGGTTTCATCCCATATATTGATAATTAGCTTGATAATACTTATTCCTAAGCATTCTGAAGAACATATTAGTTTTAATGAGACTTGTAATGTTCCGGGCTTAATGTTCATCGTACTTTACTGAGTGTTATGAGTGGAATGGATTATATGCAGCTTCAATTAATGATGCTTCAATTTTCCAACTGAATTGTTACAGGAAGCTATTAAACATGCGCAAGCAGGTAATCACTATGCCAAACAAGGCAGGGTCCTCTGGCTATCCTTCTTGGGAGGAAGGTAAGCGGAGTGTCTTTGGAGCTTAACTGGCTCCAAGGTGACATGTTTGGCAATCAAATGGCGGAATCAAGTCAGCCCTCTGTGGCGTTCTCAGTAGTCTGATTCCTGAGCCAAACGAAGACACAGTTTTCCAGGACATTGCTGATGACAGCACAGCCAGCCAGGCTCATTGACAGGATCTGGAAGGGCAGACCAGTTACTGGGTGCAAGGAGTCATCCCACTCAGCTCCTGTTAACCCTGCAAGCCAAAGCCCTAATGGGTAGGGTAGGCTGAGCTGGATAAGCAGTGGAAAGTTTACAAGAAAGTGCTTCAGATAGCAATCTATGTGGTCTTAGCTGGTTAAACTCCAGCAATACTGCTCAAATTGGGCAGTACACCAAATTGGACAGTATACCAATGCCCAATTTGGCGTCCCAAAGTCTTAGCTCTTGTCAATCTATTCCTAATACTTTCTGGAATTAGGTAAGCAAGATGGTCCCTTCAGGGAGAGAGTGCACTTTCTATTTTAGGTACAGGAACTTTCCACGTGTAGCTGGTATACATATGCCTGGTTTGTATTCTCTTAAGCATGGGGATGGGTTTCTGTATGTGTTAGACACCCGGCTGACCAAATAAAAAGCAAACGACCATAGATGAGGCTTGTTTGTTTTTTAATTGAACTATAATAAGGACATAAAATTGCAACTTGTTACAAGGACTATTATCGAGAACCATCTTTTCTCTTTCACTTCCCTGTAGATTTTGGAATTTCTTATTTTTCGACCTGCATTTTTCTTTTCTGTAAAATGCAAGAATTCTCATAGGTTGCATCAAGCATTTAGAATTGATTCTTTAACAAAATACCTTAGCCAGAAAGTAATGCAATTATGTACAGGTATTTTTGAAATTGTACCTTTATACAGAATAAACCTCTAATTTATGCTTTTTTTAAATTACAGAGCTTAGTTCTGAAAATGTAAGAACGTGTTTCAAAATCATAAACGCCTACATTTTTTTGGCTTCTTCAGAATTCTTACAGGTAAATATATATTTTTTAACAAATCACTTATTACAGAGGATGCTTTAATGTTAATGTCACAAATATATGATTTAGATTTAAAATGAGTTTGAGTTATGGTATACCAAATGTTAAGAGCTCTGGGTTAATAACTGTCTGCTGTGATGTAGAGCTGGACCCTGTTATAATGTGGTGGTTTGGGCCTATAAAGACCCCGTTTATAATGATATAAATGGATGGGGTGTTGCTGCAGACATCACTTCCTCCACACAGGAAGCTGGCAACTTCCCTGTGGGCATTTCTTATGGATACTTACACACTATGTACCTAAGACACCAGCTAGTCGGCATTGGAAGCACTTCCAGTATACTGTTGTGACTGTGTGTGTGAATGTCTGTCAGACATCAAGTCCTGGATGAGAGCTAACTTTCTTCAGTTGAACATCAACAAGACCGAGGCTCTCCTGATTGGCTCCCGTCAGCCCTCCACACCTCAGGCGCTGACAGCATCACCATCCATGGTTGCACACCCCACCTTAGTAAGCCAGCCTGGAACCTTGGAGTCTTGTTTGACCCTCAACTATCCTTTCTATTCCACATCTGCACCATGACCCGCTCTGCCTTCCCCCACCTCCGCAACATCGCCTGTCCCTGCCACTGTCTCACATCACAGGCCACCGAATCCCTCATACACGCCTTCATTACATCGAGGCTCGACTATGCAAACTCATTGCTTGTCGGCCTCCCTAACTTCTCCTTCTATAGGCTGCAGATCATCTAGAACTCTACAGCCTGTGTCCTCTCCTACACAAGGCTCCAAGACCCGATCACCCCCATTCTTGCCCAACTCCACTGGCTTCCCATCACACAGAGGATACAGTTCAAAATCCTGGTCCTCACCTTGAAAGCCCTCCACGGACTTGCTCCCCCCTACCTCTACAATCTCCTAACGCCCCTACCATGCCGTTCGCTCCCTCTGCTCAGTGGGTTCCAGCCTGCTTCACGTCCCCTGCCTTGTTTGTCCCACTATGGCAGGTGGGCCTTCCGCCACTCTGCCCCACCCTCTGGAACTCCATCCCGCAGTGCCTCCATCTCGTCCCCTCCCTTGCCACCTTCAAGACCCATCTCAAGACCGTCCTCTTCAACCGTGCTTTCGATCTCCCTGCTTCACCCCTGCCCTCCACCCGCCCCCACCCAAATCCCAGCTCAGGTCCGTAACTGTCTGTCCAGTGCCTTGGGACATCCTCCCGACGTGAAAGGTGCTTTACAAATGTAATTTTGTTGTTGTTGTGTGTGTGAGAGAGTGTGTGTGCCTCTCTGTCTGTGAGTATGTCTCTCTGTGTCTGTACATGGTGTCTGTCTTTGTATGTGAGCGTATGTCTCTTTCTGTGTCTGAGCGTGTGTCGCTTTATGTGTCTGAGTTTCTGTGTCTCTCTATCTTTCTGTGAGCATGTCTGTGTGAGTGTGTCTCTCTCTCTCTGTCGATGTGCAGTGGCAGGCTCCAAGAAGCAGGAGGTGGAGCCCCAGGACTAAATCTACCCCCACCCCAGGCTTGTTAAAGAAAGCATTAATGATTGTCTCTGCAACAATCTAATATGTATTATTTCGTCATGTTTAGTTTTATCAGTAAAGTGAAAAAATGTAGGTTGGCAGTAAAATGCAGCTCTCATAGCACCAATCAACTCGCTTCAATGCTCTGCAAAATTTGTCAAATTTCCCCGCAATTTTTTGGCAAATATTTCTGCATTTTTCTATTGGCCCTGATAATGGCTATTCAATTTATGCAATTAGATTAGAGTTTTGCAGGGCATTCAAACTTTCATGAATGTGGCACTTAATTTGAATGTGGCTTTGGTTCAAGGAATTATGCTAATAACAAATCAGCTAGCTGAAGTGGAAAAGTGCCATTTATATGAATCATAAACTGTTAAGTATATTTTAAGTTTATTTTATGAACCATGGCTGTATGGGAATGCCCCTGCTTTGCCACCCACCCAAGTGCCGGCCTCACAGAGGGTGACCGAGAAAATGGCTGCGATAAAGATAAAAGAAATCACAAGCTCCCAATTTTTTTTCCCCAAAAATCTTTTTTTCGGGTGATCTTTCTAAATTCATCACTTAATCCATGACTGTTTGTGAGACACTGCTGTGCGCAATTGGCTGCCACATTTCACCCACAAAATCTAGTCAATTCACTTTACAGTATATTCTTTGAAGCACTTTGAGATATTTCGCTGATGCAAAGCGCTTTGGGATTGGGACATCCTCCCGACGTGAAAGGCGCTCTGTAAATTTAGTTTTGTTGTTGTTGTTAAGCAGCAGAGTACTTGTGATTTAAATGTTTCTGATATTGGTGAGCTACATAACCAGGTGATGAACATAAAAATAAATAATAATGACCCTTTACATTTAGAATATGATCAACATGACTTTCCAAAGGTCATTGATCATAAGAAAGGGCTCAGAGTGGCAAATTATTCCAAATAGATACTTACAACTGAACTTGAAGAAAAACTGAACAAATTTTTAAAACGTTGGAAGGGGAAAATAATGTATATTCCAAACAGACTGTTTAACTTGAGCTGATAAGCATAGAATCCGAAATGAATATGCCTCAAAAGGACTGGATATGAGAAAAATATAATTTAGTCAACTACTTTTTGATGCAATAAGCTAAGCCATGGTGCCAAATATTTTGTTTTCTAATAAGTAGATGTGTAAAGGACAGGTAGATTGACTTCAGTGTATAAAGGCAATACATATTTAAATGGTAAGCTGCAAAGATGTGTACGGCTGAATCATGTCCTCTTGTGAGGCCACATTTAGAATCTCGTTTGCAGTATTGGATAATCTCCAAATAAGATTCTTCATTAACTTCATGGCTGTTTCATGGGACATTGCTGTGCACAAATTGGCTGCCACGTTTGCCCATAAAACACAGTCACTCCACTTCACAATGAATCCTGTAAAGTGCTTTGGGACATCCTGATGTGAAAGGCGCTGTATGTACCAAATGTAAGGATTATTATTGTCCTACCTTCAGAAGCATATTGATACCCTGGAGAGGGTTCAAAGGACATGGACAAGGATGATTCAGAGTGCGAGGAGTTACCAACAACTCTAAAAAACAAACAAAAAAAAATGATTGGAGAAAAGTTTGTGTGAGTCATGATCTAGGTCTTTTAAATGATGGGAGACACAAACAGTGAGGATGGAAGGCCAGGCTAAGTGGAGCCCTGGAGCTCAGTGGTTAGAGCACTCGTCTTGCAAGCGAGAAATCTGGATTTGATTCCCGGCAGGGCAAAACCTTAGGCAAGTTTCCTTACTCCATACCTAATAATAATAATAAATAATAATCCCTGCATTTGATACAGCGCTTTTCACGTTTTCTAGACGTCCCAAAGCACTTCACAGAATATACTGTAACGTGAATTGACTGTATATTTGTGGGCAAACGCGGCAGCCAATTGCGCACAGCAATGTCCAACAAACAGTCATGGATTGAAAATGACCAATTTATTATTTTGTTTTTTTGGAAGGATTATTATTAGGCGTGTGGAGTAAGGAAACTTGCCCAAGGTTTCGCCCTGCCTGGAATTGAACTCAGGTCTCTCACTTGCAAAAGAAGTGCTCTAACCACTGAGCTACAGGACTCCACAATCCCTCAAGAAAAAACAAAACAATAAAAAAAAATTGTCACTTCAATCCACAACTGTTTGTGGGACATTGCTGTACGCAATTTGCTGCGCGCTTCGCCCACAAATATACAATAAAATTCACTTTACAATATATTCTGTGAAGTGCTTTGAGACGTCTAGAATACATGAAAAGCGCTATATCAAATGCAAGGGTTATTTAAGCAGGAAACAGCAGGAAAGCCCACATATATATAATATATGTATATGTACTGTATTTGGGACATCCTCCTGACGTGAAAGGCGCTATACAAATGTAATTTTGTTGTTGTTGTATTGATGAGAATCTAGTCTTGTCTGGCATGCTGTTGTAGCAGTACATTTTGACAGAGTTTGAGAACTTTCTTAGTTTGAATAAATTGAGTGCAGTTATGTTTGTCAAGGCTCCTAATTATGAGATTCCATCAAGACATCTACAAAAGAGATCTCAGAGGCTTTTGTTGCCTTTTGATTGTTAAGATTCTTGAACAAGTAAATGGATCCAAATGTGGAATTTTCCCTCGCTTATTAAAATTGAGAATTAATACTAGCACAATATGTTTACAATATAGTTTGGTGAATGTGTTGATAGTGGATAACTTTTGAGATATTTTCCTTTAAAGTTGCATAAGTCATGTGTTATCAAAGTGGCTCTTCCAAATATTCTAAGACAATTGGTAGTGATAATAATAAGAAATGAAATGAAGTGCTAGAAATGAAAGCACTTTGTTATGGCAGCATTTCTGTAAGCTGGAGCAAAATCCTGGAACTCCGTATCCCTATCATGGGAATACCACTGCCACAAGAACTGCATAAGCTTAAGTAGAAGGCCTACCACCAGATTATCAGGGCAACAGGAAGGGCAATAAATGTTGATTCTGTCAATATTGCTCATGCATATCACAAGAATTAGTTTTTGTAAAAACACTTCATAAGCATAATTTAAAATAAATGCAGTTTGAGTTTCAACAACTTATTTCTAAACAATGTTAATATATTAAAATGGAAGAGCAAGTAAAGATTGTAAGAGAAGTCTTATTACATCCATCAATATCAACTTTCACTTGCATTTGTGTAGGCTTAAATATCCATCATTTGTAAAACTAACTACTTTTTTGCATAATCCTTTCAGCCTGCTGAAAATTCATTTGAGCCCATGGTTAAAATCTATGCTCAGCTTACTTCAAATTCATAATTATTATTGTCCCAACAAAATGCATGTCTTTAATTAAACATCTTATATTGGATATCCTTCAAGATGTTTCCTGCAATCCTTCAAAAGTCATGCTAATATTAGAATTGTCTCTGAGGACCAAGTTATGTTCGTTGACTCATCAAAAGTTAATAGACTTGTGCAAGCTAAGCTGTCTAGTTACCATAATATGTGATTAAGATATTTTACAAATTGATGCTAATATAGAAATCATTTAACACTGGATTTTTATCATTGCAGAATTTTGCAGCTGGTCTCTGCCAGTCCTTCTGTGACTTGCTGAAGGATATCACCACTGAAGGAAAAGTTCAAGTACTTAAGGTCCTGACTTTTACTTTTGTCACCTGATAAGTATTGAAAACTTTTTGATCAGGATATTCTGTACAGAAAACATAAATATTAGCAACTTGTTTTTAGGAAAGGAATTATCCTTGAAACTGTAACCTGTAAAATTCTGTTACCATTATCATTGTGTACTTTAAGGGCTGGGTGGCAAATAGTTTAATACATTACCTTTTGTTTCAGGGACTTGGGTTCCAGATATAATGTAATCCAACCATGTAATCCAAACCAACTTTATCTGGGTCCTATTGGAAATTAGTTTGATATTTTTAGTCTAATTTATAGTGTGCACAGGGCCATTGCATTCCAAACTTTTTAAAGACACATTTCTTAGTCATTTGCCTTAAAATTTTCTTATTATTCGGCACTGCCTAACAACTTTGAATCATTGAGATATTTAACCTTTTATGAAAAGTGTAANTTTTTCAATTAATAATAATCTTTGCATTTCACATAATGCCTCACCACATCATTGAGACATCCCAGAGAGCTACACAGAATTTTACTGGAGAATGTTGAGTGTGTATTTTGTAGATGAACGCAGCAGCCAGGTTGCACATAGCAATGTCCCAAAAACAGCCTTGAAGTAAATGACCAATTTTATCTGTGCAATTGCTGGCCAGGAAGCGGCAAGAACTTCATTCTCTTTTTGAATAATGCTATGGGATCTTTAACATCCACCCAAATAAGCAGATAGGGCCTTGCTTTAAGCATCACATCCCAAAGATGGCAATTCTGACAAATGCAGCACTCCCCCAGTAATGCATCTGATTGCCAGCCTTGTCTGTGAGTTCAAAGTTCCAATGAGAGCCTTGAACCTGCAACATCACACTCAAAGGGTGAAAATGTTATCAACTGAGCCAGGCTGATATCTTAATTGTTGTAAATAGACATTGAAAAAAAATATGAAAGCAAATGGCAGTAGTAGGATGTTGGAATAAAACACTTATGATGTGAAATGACATAGCTTTTAGCTGCTGGAAGTGCATTTGACAAATCTGATGACATTCTGAAATATTTCTGAGGCGTTGGGCAAATTGTAATGGACAATAACCGAGCAAGCAATGTCCATTGCGCTTTATTTGTAAATATATTTATTCTGATAATCGATGAATATTCTTGGAAATGGAAGGAACATGATTCTACTATGCACTCAGCATCAAGTGGTATACAATCAGATGCGCGTGGATCAATTGCAGCACACATATCTTGAAAAAAATTACTTGAATTTATAATTTTTTACATTTTGATACAGGTTTGGATAGTGGAAGGGTCTAACTTCCTAATAATAATAAATCCTTGCATTTGATATAGTGTCACATCTCAAAGTTTCTCACAGGATTTTACTGTAAAGTGTAGCAACTGTTATTGTAACGTCTGCTGCAGCTGCCATTATTTCATTTTGTCTAATTGAAGGCACTGTTAAATAGATCTACTCTACACTACATTTTCCTTCCTACGTTAACATGACAATTGTGACAATTACCTTTCCTTGTAGCTCTCAGTTCAAACCCAGAATTCTCCCCGCGGAATCCAGCATAAAATCAATCGGCATTTAGCATTCTTAACTTGTTAATACAAAATACAATAGAAAATGACATTTGTATAGCCCTTTCACATTGGGAGGACGTCCCAAGGCAATGGACAGTCAAGGAATTGGACACGAGCTGGGGGATCGAGGAGGGTGGAGGGCAGTGAGGGTAGGAGGCTTGACGAGGAGGGTTTTGAGACACACCTTGAAGGAGGCTAGGGAGTGAGGCGAAGGGAATGTGGGATGGAGTTCCATAAAGTGGAGACAGAAAGGCTGAAGGCCCGGCATCCGACGGTGGATAGGGCCGGGCGAGGGATATGAAGTTGGCTGGAACCCACTGAGTGGACGGAGCAGGCAGGTTGGTAGGGGGTTAGGAGGTTACAGAGATAGGGAGGAGCAAGGCCATGGAGGGCTTTGAAGGTGAGGACCAGGATCTTAAACTGTATCTTCTGTGTGATAGGAAGCCGGGTGGGGGTGATGGGGTCACGGAGCTTGGTTCCGGAGAGGACACAAGCTGCAGAGTTCTGGATGATCTGCGGCTTGTGGAGGAACGAGTTGGGAAGGCCGACAAGCAGAGAGTTGGCGTAGTCGAGCCTAGATGTGATGAATGTGTGGATGAGGGTTTCGGTGGCCTGAGGGGTGAGGTAATGGCAGAGCTGGGCAATATTGCAGAGATGGGGGAAGGCAAAGCGGGACATGGCACAGATGTAGGGGAGAAAGGACAGTTGAGGATCAAACTAGATGCTGGAGTGGCTCGGTGAGGTGGAGTGTGCATCCTTGGATGGTGATGCTGTGTTAAGCACTAAATTGCTAACAGGATTTGATAGCCTCTGAAAGATATTACTCCTTCATAGCTCAGCTGTTGGTCTGACTCTGCATACTTCTGTTTAATAATAATAATACTTGCATTTGATGTAGTGCTTTTTTCACGTCTTCTAGACGTCTCAAAGCGCTTCACAGAATATTCTGTAAAGTTAATTGACTGTATATTGTGCAGCCAATTGCGCACAGCAGTGTCCCTCAAACAGTTGTGGATTAAAAATGACCAATTTATTATTGTTTTATTTTGGGGATTATTATCAGGCGTGTGGAGTAAGGAAACTTGCCCAAGGTTTGGCCCTGCCTGGAATTGAACCCAGGTGTCTTGCTTGCAAAGCGAGTGCTCTAACCACTGAGCTACAGGACTCCAAATGACAATAATCTTGTTGATTTAAAAGGAACTACAAATGTGTTTCTACTATCTTTATGGCATCTGATATTCTTAGAGGATACAAGTGGCATGGTGGATATGGTGGATAACTTCTTGTGTGCCGGATTACATCAAAGAAAGATGTCGTACATTGCATGGTAAAGCACAGGCATAAATTGAAAATGTTTTATACCAGACAGTTATTTGTTCCTCCTCCACACTGCCTCAAGATATTTCTCTTTCTTGTACGAATCATTTTGATGGTATGTCTGGTTGAGATGTTCTAGTTTTATGGTGTATAATTATATTTGCAGCAAAATGGGATATGATAATTTAAACTCAACTAACTTGGAATCCTTAAAGCTGACTGAGACAGACGCATTTAAAACAAGATCTTAGAGATGGAAGGATAATATGCAATCACTGTGCTGTTAGTAATTTTCCAACAACAACATGCACTTATATAATGCCCTCCACGCAGGATAGCGACTCAGAGCGCTTAACAGTAGCGGAGCCTGACTTGGAGCCAGTGGGAGGGGGGAGGTGGCCGTAAGAATGGTCGAAGAGGCAAGTTTTCAGGTGGGACTTGAAAGAGGGGAGAAAGGGGGCAAGGCGGAGGGACTAAGGGAGAGTGTTCCAGAGGTTTGGGGAGTAGTGGCTGAAAGCACAATCTCCGATGGTGGGGCGGATGGAGCGAGGGACAAGCAGGAGACCGATACCAGTCGAGCAGAGGCACTGGGTGGTGAATTGGAGAGTGAGGAGGTCAGAGAGTTAGGGACGTGCCAGGGAGTGAATGGATTTGAACACGAGAGTGAGGATCTTGAAGTTGATCCGTTCGGTGATGGACAGCCTGTGGAGCCTGGCCAGAACTGGTGAGATGTGGGTTCGGAGTTTGGTCCGGGTCAGCATTCGGGCGGCAGAGTTTTGAATGAGTGGAATCTTGTGAATGGTGGAGCTTGGGAGACCAGCGAGAAGTGCATTTGAGTAATCAAAGTGGTACGTGACAAATGCATGCATGAGGATTTCGGCTGCATTTGGGGTAAGGTATGGTTGGAGGCGGGCAATGTGGCGGAGATGGAAGCAGGCTGTCCTGGTCAGGATCTGGTTATGGGGAGGAAGGACAGCTGGGGGTTGAACTAGACACCTAGATCGCATGCTGGTTGGTTGAGGAGTTTAGATCTGCAGGAGTGAACAGGTTGATGGGAGCCAAAAAGTATGGCTTCCGTCTTGTCCATATTCAACCGCACAAAGTTTACACTCATCCAGGCCTTGATGTCTGCCAGACAAGCTGATAGAACATTGGCGCCCTGGAAGTGGCAAAGTAGATTTGTGTGTCATCGCATAAATGTCCCATGTCTGCAGATGACATCGCCCAGAAGGAGCATATAGATAAGGAAAAGAAGAGGGCCAAGGATGGATCCCTGGGGTACCCCGGAGGTGACTGGGTTATATAAATTATTCCACCTCGTGTTATATAAGTTATTAATTTTTTAAAAAATGTTGCAACTCGCCAGATGTGTATTGGGAGTACAAAGCCTTTAATTGATTCTCAAATAGCTTTGCATCTAATTTTCATAGGTGAAGTTTAGTCGTTTAACTTGATTATAGTTTGCTTTTAAAGTCGGGCGCAAATATTGATCGAGGAAATCACTGAATAGAATGAATGGAACTAAATTCAAAATCGGAAGTAAATTTTTCCCACCATTTAACCCAACTACAGGAATAGCTTCATTGACGGACAATTTTGACATTTTGATATTTCTTGGATGTTGCATAATTTATTTCTCTTCAATACAACGGGTGATTTTAATCCTTTGCATTTCAACATACAATTAGCAATTTTAATTTGCAAATCTCCATTGTGCAAAACCCGTCACTCTCAGGAAATAATGCACTTTAGAAATAGAAAATTAATTAGAGTGGATTGACAGAAGTTAATAACAGAATTATAAATTAATTGTTATTTGAAATTCTGATATTGGAACTCAAATCTTTTAAAATAATTATTTCAAATAACATTAGCTTAACCTGTTTGCAAAGTAAGAGGTTTGATCAAGCATGGTGGAGCCTCATTATAATACAGTGGTTGATATTCCATTCTAATCCCAACTGGTTCTATGATAGACACTTTCACTGCATATGTATGCAGCCACCAGTTCCTATACTAATAGAAAAATGGACCACTCTAGGTCATTAATCACTGCCAATGCCACTTCGTCTTTACTGTGTATTCGCGGAGCAGAAAGCGACATCAACAGT